AGTTATTAAATTTTAATCAAAATAAATGAAGTATTCATAATATTTTTTAAACAAATAATTATAAGTAAGTATTAAATATCATTAAGTACTTGTTGATAGCGATGGGCAACAATATCGATGTATTATCGTGACAAACTTTCGACATAAATATTGCTTTAATCGAAATTTATATTTTGTTGTAGATTTTAGCTTATAGTCAATAGATATAATACATTTATTGTACTGTGTATTATGTAGTGTAATAAATAGTTATATCTATCGTCCGATAACGGTTTGCGCGTTTTGGGGAAATGTTAATTAGTAATAATTTATTACATCTGTTGATTATTATAAACTTATAGGTAACAGTTATAACTCATAAATTATGATTGGCTAAAATATCGATATCGTGCCAAATTTTCGATATCGATACAAAAAAATTATGAACCTGATTTTTTAGTGTCCAACCAAACTAGAATAGAACATGCAAAGTATTGCGAACCCGAACCAATCCGAACTATTAAAATGTTTGATTGGACTAAAATACGAATTCAACATTYTATTTTAGTTTTTCATACCTAATAGTATTAATATAAAAATAATAGTTAATAGTTAAATTTTATGATAGTATTTTGATACTTTCATTTTAATTACCTACTTTAAAGTAGGGAAAATTTAATTAAGATGTTGTTTGATGACTCTCAATTTGGATTTTCGAACAGTAAAAGATGCTRGATAGTTCGGTTCAGTTTGAGATTTGAACAGTTCGACCGATCGCTAATCGTTACCTATCACTACTTATATAATTGGACAAAATGTATGATTATTAATTATATAACATTCCTCGAATGATGCCATTTTCAATATTATGTTGGCCCATAGAATAATTGTATAGGTACGTAGAAAATATTATTTTATTATTAAATATTCTTTGATAAATATTTTCATTTGCACGAAAGAATAATAAGTTTTATTACATTGAAAATTAATTTAAATGTTGGATATTTTCTGGAAATAATTGAAAAGCGTACTATTATACCTGTAAAAAAACTGTTTATGTATAAAGTATAAAATATTAAGCATGGCATCTAAAGAAT